CAGGAAGGTTGGGGAATTGCCAACGGGGACAGAAGAAAGGCCAGTTGGGATATTCTGACAGCTAACTGTGCAAGAGACAAGCTTGCTCACAGATCTGAGCCCACACAAAGTCTACTGGATCCCTTCTCATAAGTCGGTATAGGGCCCAGGCTGGGAGGCAGAGGTCCTACTACATTAAGAACTACAACAAGCAGACAGCCTCTGCCCTATCCACACTTGCATCCAGTCAGCCCTGTACTGACATTTTTCTGGTTGAGAGCCTTATCCTATGAGTAGTGCCTCCCCAGTGAGTGGAGCTAATGACATAAAAACCCATGCCTTTGTGGACAGGGGCTGGCCAGGGTAGGGCAGTCACTCTGGATGTGGCGTCAGTGGTCTTCTCTGGGGATCTGACCAGGACTCTAAGAAGAGGCCCCTCCAACTCCGCTTTTGATTAGGAAGTATCCTGTCCACAGGGGAGTTTAAGTTGCACAAGAAGCATTGGGAGAAAGCAGTCATGAGACTAGTGTTGATCAGAGATTCTTCTCATCATGTGGGAACACCTAGATGCAGCCTTGCATGAAACCTAACCCAGACTACTTTAAAGAAAGCCAATAAATTTACTTCTATACTTCAGCCAGTATGAGCAACTTGCAGTGCAAACAGCTTTGACTGATGCCATATACACCATCACTCCAATGGTCAGCAAGACATAGCCAATCCTATTTCACTGATACCCTAGCTCCAGTTACTCCAAAGCAAATCCCAGATTCTATTGTTCTATGTGTACACACTCAAGTATATATCTCTGAAAGTCAATGGCCTTTTTATTTTTTTAAAGAATTATATGTATTATTGTTATTATTTTTTTAATTCATGAGAGAAAGGGGGAAATAAAGAAAATGAGAAAGCAAGCCACTAGGTCTAGGACTTGAACCACAGTTGGTTATGTAGGAGTTCAATGCCTTAACCACCATGTCACTTGGCCCCAGATGACTCTTTTTAAAACATTTTATTTACTTATTCTCCTCTTGGGATTTTGGGCACACATGCACACATGCCTGATTTTTTTTTTTTTTTTGAGACGTTTTTGCTATAGGATGCATGAGCTCACTAGAAAGACAGAGACAGAAAGCGAGAAATCACCTCCTAGGAGGGATGGCCACACCACAATCCTTTCTCCTCCATTCTCTTCTCGGGATCTTGGGCACGCACGTACACACACCTGGCATGAGTTTAAGCCACCAGGTCTGGAAATCGAACCACGGTCGACTGTATGGGAGTCTACCAACATAGCCATTATGCCAACTGCTGGTCCCACTGACATGTTTTTTAAGCCATCAGGCCTGGGACCTGAACCATATCCTCAGCCATGTGAGATCCAGCTATCTTAACCACTACACCACTGGCTGGCTCTGGCAGTGACTCTCATTTAACGGTTTGCATGCCCGTCTCTTTACTCTACCTCAAAAGTCTGTCAGTCTCTTCCCTCTTGCTTCATGAAGTCTCATCCCCCAGGTCATGTGCCCTGTCTGCTACAATGCCACAGTGGCCAGAGGGCAGGTCTGTCCTCATACTCAGGATGCCTCAGGCCCCAGTACAGTCTTCAGAGCTCATAAGCTTGGAATGGTCTAGCTTATGGGAGGCATTAGGAAGGCCTGGGACAGAGGGAAACTTCTGGGATGGGAGCAGGTCACAGGGGATATCATGACCAGAAAAGAAAAAGGTGGCACTCTCCACTCACCTCAGGCAGCACCGTCACTGGGCAGACAGCTGTGTCCTCCTCCTCTTCCTGCT